CTATAGATGCGATGCTTTACAGATTTCAACTAAACGTGCAGGGAAATATGGGTAAATGTAGAGAATTGTTGTTGACCCAAAGGATCTTGAACTTGGAAATCTTTTAGGAACTTAAAGAATCTATCATCATCCATCAAAACAATGAGTAACACGCAATGTAGCCAGGCTGTCTGTCACAAGATCGAAACTAATATACCTACAAATGTTTCAGTGATTTCAAATATACCTTAGGAGGAAAAATCATCTTATCTTAACTAGCTTGTGTCACCCCACAGCTGGATAAAGGCCTTCCATTTCTCCTTCCATCTAGTTCTGTCTAGGGTTTTTGAGAACTTCTTGTCGTGTCGATGACTCAAACATATTTCGACTAGAAATTTACCACGGCTACGGCACTGTCGGTGGCCTCACATTGAGAACTTAAGAAGCATTCTAACCAGGACTTCCTTTGCAGGTGTGGTTCAAGAACCGTCGCGCGAAATGGCGCAAGCAGAAGCGCGAGGAGCAGGAGCGCCTGCGCAAGTTACAGGAGGAGCGAGCGTGCGGGCGAGCTCCCCTCATGCCGCGCCCCCCCGCGCCCGCGCACTCCCCCTGCTCGCCCCACTCGCACCACTCGCCCCACTCGCCCCACTCGCCCCCGCCGCTGCCGCCGAGGCAGTACTCCGACGACTCCGACTCAGACCTCGAGGTCGCCTGAACCTTCTAGCCTTCAAAGAACTGGCTAGCCGCAGAATATGAAGGAAACGCTACCTCGAGTTCGCCTGAACCTTCTAGCCTTCCTAGTGTAAAGAACAGGCTAGCTGCAGAATATGAAAAACGCTATGTGTGTGAATGTGAGCGTTCCATCTCTCTCCCTAGTGCTCTTATTGGAAAGACAGAACTCTAGTTAGACTCTCTTGACTCTTCGTGTGGGTCACCGAGTTGACGAACGCCTGCCCCCTGTTGTGGTGTCAAACTGTTGGACATAATAAAGACTGGTAGTGACTGAAATACCTATCGTGAGTAAACAAAGTTTAAGTGACAAGACTGGATAAAAAGCACGGCGCTTGCGGAATTTCTGTAAAAATAATAAGTAACAAAATAGATTGTGAAATATTAAGTAGAAAATATAGCTAAGTATTATAATTTATCGTGTACTTAATAGTATTTTAAGAATGTATCTATGTGTGTATGTAGCAATTAACAATAGTTTTACTGTAATGTAGACTAGACTGTTGGTTTCTTCAGCTTAAATGATTAGATGCTCTCCTACTAACTTCTAGATATAAAATCAATAATGTTCTTAACTTCCCATAACCCTTTTCTTGACCAACTACCTACCTATGTCTTGATAGATAATTATTTCTTACTAGATTTTATTTAATCAGAAACAAAACAATAGCTTCTTGAATGACCTATAATCCAACAACACCTCAGTATTTACGTATGGGATCAACGTAAACTACAGTATGGCTGTTTGAATAGGCCTTATTTGACAGCGATCAAAATCATGTTAATGCTATGACATAAGGTCCTTTTCTTTGACGATTTTTCTTCTAGTATGGGTTTGACAGCTCTCAAATATGGCCTATTCGAATGGCCGTACTTTAAACAGGTTAATCTTAATCATTGCTATAAAGAACTACTTACTTGAATATTGGTTGACAACTTTATAGGGTTGGTTGAGGTGCATCTCTAAAAAAGTGCTACTTCTAATTTCTTTAGATGCGTACAATAAAAATATACCTAAGTTTTGCTTACATAAGTTCCTCCTACACCGATGTCACTTTTTAACAAAGCTATCGCCCAAATGTTTTACTTTCTGCCTGTTAAATTAATAATACTAGATACCTACCTACTTGCTGTCTGAATGCAAAGTAAGAAGACTTGTATTTTCCCTGGTATTTCAATTTCGTAACAAAACTTAGTTATAGATCTGAACCCGGTGTAAGGCACTTTTGGGTACCTACCTATACAGCAAGCTGTTATACCTACTATCTAAGTACCTACCTTACCTACCTATCTACCGAAAGCTAATAGAATATTATTATAATAATGACTATTTGTATTCATTATCAAGAAAATACATAACGATGGATATACTTTATGCATTCTCATTTACCTTCGCAACAAAAAAGTCTACCCCGTTGATGTCTTTTGTATGAAAAATAGAAATAAAAATCAGAAAGCAAGAAATAGTACCTAACAAGGCAAGGAAATTTTCGTATGATGCCAGGTTATATTGCAGCGTGTTCCTTAAAATAGCACCAACTCTAGAGCTCAAAATGCTTCATGTCTATTTTAAAATTTACGCAATAGACAACATGTCGCTACAATGATACACTTTCTGCAGTAAAATTACCGGTACGACCGTTCTGCTCTACCTACCCCGCACAGGACAAAGATGTGATGTAAGTAGTAAGTTGGTAATATTAGTAAGAAGTTATTGGTTTGGTTTTACGTAGTGCGACTTCCTGCGTGCGACACAAAAGATTTCGGGTTCGATTCTCGGCGGGTCACTCACAAAAGTTGATTGTTGATGATGTTGAATTTGTTCCCAGTCTGGTTAGGACATTGCAGGGTTGAACCACCTGATTGTCTGAAAGAAAGTTGGTGCTTTGGAGGGCACGTTAAGCCATTTAAGCAGCGGTCGTTACATAACCATGTCGGACGTCAGAATCCTGCTACTTGTAAGTAGTAGGCAGTTGAAAAACATTGGGACGTTGAATGGAGGACTCGTTGTCCCATACGAAAAGAAAGAATGAAACGGTTTGCTTCAAGGAAGTTTCCATATACAAGATGTAACAAAATTAACTGCAAATATATTAAGGGGTAAATCAGCCCATGAAACTGAACAACTTTCCCCAAGAAACATAGGTCGAAATATGAAAAATAATTTGGACCTTCTATACAAATTGACTCGGCCGCCTGGTACAACTTGTATGGGAGGTTCAAACTTTTTTTCATATTTCGACCTATGTTTCTTGGGGAAAGTTGTTCAGTTTCATGGGCTGGTTCACCCATTAAAATCATATCAGCCATAGGACGTTCACTGCTGAACATAGGCCTCCCCTAAATGTTTCCACCTTGTCCGATTAGAAGCAGCCTGCATCCAGCATTTCCCCGCGGACTTGACCAGATTGTCTGTCCATAAAAAAATGTCCATAAATTAAAATATTTGCAGTTGATTTTTTTACACCTTATAAGTATGTTCGCGCCAATCATTAGACTGTCACAAGAATATGTCCCATGAAGGTCCCATGCTTTGCATACTAATGAATGAGGGAGGGAAGCATACAGCATGCCAAGCCCATGATTCCATATTGGTTCTTGCACATGCCATCACGAGCACACCACATCAGCATGCCACGTATTATGTCATCTGATCCCGTCTCGATAGAAATATTATAACGAGTACGTACGTGGATGACCTCATCCATCATTCAAACTTACTCGCGCAGAATACTGAATATTTTTTAAGTGTTTTCGAAGAGTGAATCAGATCTTGAGTATGTAAGTAAATAGATAAATGTGCGTAATATTTTGAATTCAATAGACTTTTTTTAGAAAGATGGGATACAATACTATTTATAGGGGCAATTCACTTATGCACATGCAAAGAGACGTTTTCAAAAGCAAATCCCAATTAACTACTTCGGAATTGAAATAAAGTTAGACGCAACCATCTTGCTTTTCAGACTCAAGTGGTTCAGCCTGCAATGTCCTATCCAGACTGGGGAGTGATACGGGAATGGCCGGCAGTCACACTACTAGTGCTGCATCGGCTGTCAGAATTTCCATACTACAGTGTATTTTCTATTTGATACTAAAAGGCTTACGCAAAGATAACTGTCAAAAAATACATATTACGTTTTACATCGTTTATTGCGAGAAAGATTACAATATCACATGATTCCTGTATTCATTCTTATTATTATTACTTTATAGGTAGGTAACACTAGTTCCAATAAATAAATAACAATAGGTACTTATACTTATTCACAATCTGAAAATTCTTTCATTGGTTTCAATCTCGAAACGTTACAATAGAAATCAAATTCGATTTTATTCTTTGAATTAAATGAGGATTATTGCACATCGGCTTATGTCCACTAATACTTATAGTCCATTCAGAATCATAGTGTCATGACCAGCCCAAGCGGTATCTAAGTATTGAGACTAGCGAAACTTGGCCTACCGCTTAGGCTCTTCATGTCATTTCATGACACTATGATTGCGAATGAACTATACCTATGCTAACCTAATCTAATCCCTAATCGAGCACACGTGACGAGTAGAGTGGCAAAACTGCCAAGTTTTTACCCTGACTCGACAATCTACTCGTTACGTATGACCAAGGCATTTGAGATACACAAGTGTTAACTATCAGATGTAGTAGGGATAGGAGTAGGCGTAGGCGTAAGGGTAGGTGTAGGGCTGTAGCAGACTGGCGCGGCGTAGTAGCCGGCGTAGTCGAACACCAGCGCCTCACACACCAACAACTGTTAACTATCAGATGTAGTATGGATAGGAGTAGGCGTAGGCGTATCTAAGGGTAGGTGTAGGCTAGCGGGCTGTAGGCGTAGGAGACTGGCGCGGCGTAGTAGCCGGCGTAGTCGAACACCAGAACCTCGCTCACCAACAACTGTTATCTATCAAATGTAGTAGGGATAGGAGTAGGCGTAGGCGTAAGGGTAGGTGTAGGCGAGCGCGCTGTAGGCGTAGGAGACTGGCGCGGCGTAGTAGCCGGCGTAGTCGAACACCAGAACCTCGCTCACCAACAACTGTTATCTATCAAATGTAGTAGGGATAGGAGTAGGCGTAGGCGTAAGGGTAGGTGTAGGCGAGCGGGCTGTAGGCGTAGGAGACTGGCGCGGCGTAGTAGCCGGCGTAGTCGACCAGAACCTGCGGCTTGGCTGCTACGCTGCTCAGCAGCGCCAGCGCCGCAAACACGAACAACATCTGCACGAAAAGGATTGAATACAGAATCTTATAAATGAAAATGGGAAATGGAAAATACTTCATACATCAACCGGGGCTCGAACCCGGGCCGCATGGGGTACCGTCCCACCGCTCTGCCACTGAGCTATCGATGCACAGAACGATGTCGTTTGCAAACGACGATCTAGAGACAACTGGTAGAAAGTATTTACAGGTTTCGTCAGTAAATTTATGAAAATAAGTAATTATATCACTGTGAGTGTTTTAAAATCCCAATAGAAAAGAGAACCTGTTGCAGCGGAGGTGGACTGCAGGAAAATCGACTCAACTCGTCAACTACGGGTCCTAAGTATTACATGTCCAACATGTGTTGTCGGTTCTTTGAAAAGCCATAGCAAAATAATCTTAATAACTCATATTATCTGCAATCAACATGATTAATTCCTAAAGACTGAAAAAGTGGTAAAGTTATCAAATCCACTTGGAATGCAAGAAAGTAGGTTGTATTGCATTATGCATAATTTAAGACATAATCGTGATGGAGGATTATGAACTTTACCTAAATATCTACTAGCTCTGTGAAACGTAGAGAAAACGGTACTCACAAAAAAACAGGAACTCACAGAAAAAACTGGAACGGGAACTAAAAACTTTTGACTTAAGATTATTTGGGATACATACGTCTATTAAAATATTCACTTTTATTTTAAGATTCACTTTCCTTTGTTGAATTTATTCTAATGCAATAATAACTACCTTGCAGTGCACTATGTTCTAATAAGATAATTTATTTTAAAACTCACCATTTTGTACATGTTGATGTTTAGTTTTGTAAAGAAGCACCAAGTCCTGATCTAGGCGTCACTAGACGGGGTTGTGCCGGCTGCTGCGACAATGTGTCGAGTATCCTCACGCCGGACCTTATATACGGGGCTCCGGGGCTCCCAATCCCGTCCGTGCTCGGAAAACTTATTAACAGGCCATCTTATGAGACATGCACGTAGAGGCAGGCTCAATATGTGGACTTAGCTGTCCAATACCGTTTCTATACAGGGTGTAAGGGACGGTGTACCGAAATCTTTTCAGGCATGAACAGACCATGAAACTGAAAATATTTAACGTGGAGCCTATGTTCGGCAGTAAACATACTTATTTTACGAGTTTTCACAGAAAGTTCAGTCAGCTGGTTGGGGAAAAAATATTATTTCCCAACATATCTGCCATGATAAAAGCTGATCAGTTTCATAGTCCGATCACGCCTGTAAAGTTTTCGGTACACTGTCCTTTACACCCGGTATTTATATAAGATGGATCTATAGCAAAACAAGCAATGGATATCGATGTCCACGTCACGTCATCGCCACGGCCTTCTATGTGTTCTGCCCCATGATAGAACACACTAACACAATGTAGCATTAAGTGATAATGGAGCGTCATTTCCATATCGGTCCCGGATTACAATCACAACAATAGATGCTATAGAATGGAGCAGATTAATTGCTACAAAAACTGTTATGTGTCTATTTTTATTGTGGCAACAGCATTGACGCTTCCAGAAAGACGTGATGAGGTTGTACCTTAAGTAAGTACTTCTGAGGTCTTTATGGAAAACAAACAAAAAGTATTCTGACTACCTAGGTATTTTCGATAAGCCTTGGTTAAGCCATCCCGCCCAAGGCCAGATAAAACAATTTCTATGAGGTAATCTAAGCAGACGCATTCTGAAATGAAATAACTAGTTCTTTCTAAGGGATGCAAATTTTTCTTAATAGGCCTTGGAGTAGGTACCTACTTAAATATAAATAAGGCGTAACTGGCGTAAGTAGGTTGTAGGTTCGAAGGACTGATAATCGGTGGAGCAGGAGAGTTTTCAAGTGGAGACCTCATAGGACGCCCCCGCGAGTTGGACAGACGATCTGGTCAAGTCCGCGGGGAAATGCTGGATGCAGGCCGCTTCTAATCGGACAAGGTATTTACGGGAGGCCTATGTTCAGCAGTGGACGTCCTATGCCTGATATGATGATGAGGTTCTAGGTCACCATTTAATGTTTTTTTTTTCAATCATACCTAATAATAAGTAGTCTATAGTAATAATGTGGCTACGCATTGGTCAAAGAAAATTTAGTTTCGTCTTCGACTCGCAAAGAAGAAGTAGTCTACGACGAGCAACTCAACAGAGTAAATAAGAACCTATCCTATTTATGTTAGGACGTTAGGTACAGTTACGCTGAATGAATACCCACCTAAAAATTGTAACACTTAACTACTAAATCACAAATAAGAATGTAGAGTCAAGTCATTAAAATCATTAGCTAAAACAATTTTTGATCAAACAGAATAGCACCCTTTTTCCAATCGTATTTATTGGGGCTCTCCCCTAGGGGCTATAATTACTTAAATTATATTGTAGCGCTTCCCAGTCGGTCGCGTGAAAGGTTTCAATTTATTCAATTTTTACTCGCCAATCTGATAACGTGACTACTTTTGTGGAAATCTCGCGCTACCGGTAAAAAGTTGGTACTACACTGTAGACGGTGGCCAATTCAGTATACAGTGCCGGTTATCTTGAGTTTATTGTAACTTAGGTTGCATATATCACGCCTATATTAAGGGGTAGGCAGAGCGTAAACGGTTGTAAACAACGGCCATTTATACCTTATCTGACAAAAGTTTGAGAATCATTTTGAAGACTGTGTATTATGTGAAATATGACAGGCTGACATGTCGGCTAAAATTGCAATACACATACTCGTAATCTCTCAAATTCCTTTGTCGCTTCTTACGACACTCATGGAAATTATATGGGGTGATGCTATTCTAAGCCGGCACCACACTGTTTATTTTAACGAGTGCAAAACGCCTCGCAAAAAACAGCCAGCAGTCGAGACATGTTGGCAATAACCACTAAACTACGAAACTCCGTATTAGCCGGAGAGTTTACTACGGCACAGAAGCTACCATTTGACGAACTTTAAACAATGAAACAGTGACTACTGAAAGTACCTATTTACGAAAATAACTAAACTCCTTTTAAGCCGAAATTTTGGCTACGGCTAAGGACATACATACCTAACCTACTACTTGAAGAATAATGAAACTTACTACCTAGTTATTGTCAGAGGAAAAACTGAATACCGCAGCTGCTGCAGTAAAGTAGAACTGCGTTTTAACTTTCTCGGTTAGAAATGGAGTGGATAATAGCATCACTTTCATGGATGATGGTATGGCAGTGCATAAATATTTGAAAGTGTCAACTGATCACGCCATACTTATTAGTTACATCTTGTAGTCACAGTATGTCCAATCGTACGTTCTCAGATGTAGCCATCTCTCCGTCTATTTGTCGTTTCGGTGGAGAGAAATAGCGGGCTTCTCGGTAAATGCCTTACTGCTTTCGGTCTCCACTTTTAATTACTTTCGAAATTCACGCGCAAGACGCTGGGCTTAGTTAGATTTGCCGAAACGTGCCCTTTTCCTGGTCACGTTACAAATTAATTACAATACTTCCATACAAAAAGAAACCTTGTTTGTGGTACTAAAAACGTGATTCTTTTTTAACAAAACACTTTTTTGTAACACTACTCCTTTGGTATGTTTATACCAGGGCTTGGGGACCTACTTACTAAAAAAATAAAAATAAAAATTAAAAATTTTGAAAGTACCCACGACAGTACAATGATGTTGAAAAAGGATAAAATAATTTTGAAACCCCCGACCTTAATAATCTATGTGATAAATAAGAGACAATTCACATTATGTAAAAGCTTTTATACAAGTGAGTTGATTTAATTGCTCATTGAGTCAGACATAATATGAACAACAAAGTATTCGTTTTTTTAGCACTTTCTTACGTATGTATTTGGTTCTCAAAGATGTAGGTGTAGCAATCGCATAGGTAATTAACTCCTTAAATTAATAAATAACACTAGAAAATACGTTGGGGGCTGTGTTGAAGTTTTAAATATTGATAGAGCAGCCCCGACGTATTTGCTAGTGTTGATTAATTTGGGAGTTAATTACCTATGCGACTACTACCGAGAAAACTACATACGTGAAGTGCTAAAAAACACTACTGTTCATATTATGTCTGACTCAGTAATTTAATCAACTCACTTTGCATAATGTGGTGTCTCTTATTTATCACATAGATTAGGTCGGGGTTTCAAAATTATTTTATCCTTTTCATCATTATACTGTCGTGGTACTCAAATTTTTAATTTTGTTTTTATTTTACTCTTTTTAAAGAGAATAGGTTTAAAATGATATAAAATCTATATTCGGTTAAGTTTAATTAGGTACAAATATTTTAAAGGCGTATTTTACTCGCAAAGGTGAACACTTTTTCATCAAAATATTGAAAAAATGAAAAAAAAAATTTACTTCTCATACAAACATGTTGAAAAAGGTCGTCACGGAAAATCTAGTTTTTTTTTTCATTTCGATGAAGAGTTGTTTTGTTTTGTGAGTAGAAAATATCTACCGATAAAATATGTGTGCGTACGTAGTTAAAATAATTTAAACTCTGTATTCCTATTAAAATCAATGCAAATATCTGCAGGATGT